GTTGTTCGGGAGAGATGGAAGTAGCTATGCATGTGAATAGTTACTTGGCCTCCTGATGAGTGAGGGATGTTGTGCATGCTGAATTTCCTGTCCCGTACACCTCTGTGAAACTAACTAACCTAGTGCAAGATTACAGCTAATTGTGTCTCATCCTGTGACCCCTGCTGGTGTTGGACAGTCACACTTTGACATGTCATAATAAAACTGTTGAAAATAAAATGCAAAGGGAGATTATTGAAATAAGACAAAGTACTCTTTTCAGAAAGCCAACAATTAGACTGACAACCAACTTCTCATTAAGCAATAGAAACCAGAGGTAGTGGAACCAGGTCTTCACTGTGTAAAGGGAAATAAATACCTGCCAATCTCAATTTCTCAATTCAGTGAAAATCTCTCCAGACACAAGTAAAATAAAGACACTTTTAGATAAATAAATATGAAGAATTTGCTACCAGTAGACTTACACTAAAGAAAACCTGAAAGGATCTTTTTAAGGCAGAAGGAAAAGATGCAGAAGACAAAGGTCAGAGATGCAGAAAGGAATGGAAAAAGGTGAAGGAATAGAAATGGTGAAAAGGAAGAGAAGTGGTAATACTCAGTAAATCTAAATGCGTATTGACTATATAAAGCAATGATGCCTTGTTATTAAAGCCAATAAGCACATAGAATTAAATATTTGACAGTAATAACATAAGGCAGAAGGATAAATGTAATTAGGGTGTTCTCAGGTCTTTGCCTTGTCAGGGAAGGAGGTAAAAAAAAGAAAAAGCTAATTAATACTAGACTGAAGAGGATGCATATTGTAGTTTATAGGATAAGCTTTAAGTAAGTTCTTGTGGGGCTGGTTTAGTGGTGATGAATTCCTTCAGTTTTTGTTTGTTTAGGAAGACATTTATCTCTCCTTCTATTCTGAATGACGGACTTGCTGGATAAAGGATTCTCGGCTGCATATTTTTTCGGTTTATCACATTGAAGATTTCCTGCCATCCCTTTCTGGCCTGCCAAGTTTCAGTAGATAGGTCTGCCACTAGTCTTATGGGTCTCCCTTTGTAGGTTAGAGCCTGTTTATCCCTAGCTGCTTTCAAAATTTTCTATTTATCCTTGTATTTTGCCAGTTTCACTAGACATGTCGTGCAGAAGATCGATTCAAGTTACATCTGAAGGGAG